AATCTCTAGATTCTTCCTGACATTAAGATGCTGGAAATAATCCTGTAGTCCCAGAGCTGAGTATTTCATGTATCCAGAGATAGGAAGGGTAGAGGCAGACAGGAAAGACTAATTGAAATATTGCTTAAGGTGAGTAGAATTTAGAGAAATGGTGTTTTTTCCCAGGATGTAGACCTAAAGATAACATTGAATATGAGCAATTCTGATATAGTTAACCACTACTGGTCAGGTCCAGAGAAAATCTGGACATTTTTGCTTAAGGATTATCCAGGTAGGTCTAATAATTTAGAAGGTACTTGAATACCTTGGCCGCCTTCCAATCATTATTTACGTGGCTTATCAGTCAACACAGATTCCTGGGATTAAAAATGATCAAGAAGCTACTTTCTGGGGAATTCATGACTTCCTGAAAACATTTCTTTGAGTAATCTGCCTATTGTTCACAAAGAGAGAAAGTGGGAACATGCAGAGGGTAGTTGCTATCCAGAATGCTGGCTAAAAAGACTTTTAGTTGATATACTGTGATATAAACAAATACATACTATTTTCTTGAAAATTCCTACAAACATGATTGATGAAGAAAGGAGGCTAACTGTTTAAATCCACAGAAAGTAACAGTGCATATGTCTCAGAGGCTTTGAAGAGCACCCTGAGCAAACAGAGAACGAGAAGTGGTAAACAGGTAAGACACATCTATAGTGCAATAGGAAGATGCTCGAACAGACCTGGTACTTTAGAGGGTGTGTTGGGTGTGTTGTTACATTCATATTTAATGCAATAGAACATGTCCATTTCATCCTTACCTCTTCCCAGGCTGCTCTGTCTTCCCTGTTCGTAGGCATTATTTCTCCCAAGTGCGTCTGTTGGGGTGGACCTAGACATTGCCCTGAGAAAAGGTCCAAGTATGTATAATATGATTCTTTCTCTTTCTGGGGAATGCTTCAACAGAACATCACCTATTTTGGCAACCAGTCGGTCAATTTATACTCACCCACAAATAATCACAATACTCTGTCTAGTGGAACACTCTTCAGTGATAAAAGGGAATCAGGAAAAAAAAGAATAGGCTATTAATTAATGGAACAGCTTGGATGAACCTTAAATGCATTATGTTAAGTGAAAGAAGCAAGACCAAAAGACCCCAGACTGTATGATTCTGTTCCTGTGATCTTCCAGAAAAGGCAAAACAATAAAGATGGAAAACAGATCAGTTGTATCAAGGGTTTGGGGAGGAGTAGTGTCTGACTAGGGGAAACGCAGGAGATTTGGAGAGAGAGGATGGAAACTAGCCTGTATGGCGCTGCCAGTGGTGAATGCATGATTTTTTTTGCATTTGCTGATACCCACTGAACGTTCCAGCACGAAAAATGAATGAACGAATGTATGCAGTTTTTTTTTTGAAGTCAACCAGGAGATGAGAGGATCTCAAGATGGAATGCAAACTGTGACAAAAGAGTCTATTATTACACATGTATGACATGACCTCATTGAAGAGGGTATGGGGAAAAAAAAGGCACCAACGTAACTTTTAAAAACAGTGCTTTGAATGGAAACTGTAAGACTAAAGTAAAAAAGAGCTGTGCATGAACACTGTACTCTAGTTGGGAAAGTTGTTTCCCAAAGTGGTGTGGGTTAATAATTCTGAAATCACTATACACGTATACTGGGATTGAATAAATCAGTGAATGACAGATGGTAGAATCCAGGTTGTTCACTGTTGGGAGAGTGGGGATTACAGGTGAGAAAGGGGGAAAGCTAGAATGAACCATATGGTGACATCCGTATGAATTCATGTTTAGTTTAATGGAGATGGAGATGGATGGATAGAATTACAGATATGTGCCTGTACATGGGTAGTAAACAGATACATATTTCATAGCTCTGTTCCCTGAGAGGGGCTTGGAAGCAGTGACACTGCAGCAGAAATGAGCACACCCAGCACTCAGATGTTAGTTTCTAAAACCGTTCTCCAGTGAAAGGAACCAGGGCTCCGAGGAGAAATGGCTGACTTTAGAGCAAGAACAGGGAAAATACAAGATGATCCTGGAGCATCTTAGAATGCCAGAAAGTAAGCAAGTACTCAAAAAATAAAAGGGTGGGGGCTTGTCATAGGCATACAGCAGAAAGAACTCTCGATAACCAAACAGGAACAATTTGAGCAACAAAATAATATGGTACAGGCAGACCCCAGAGATACTGTGCGTTTGGCTCCAGACCACTGTGCTAAAGCAAATACTGCAATAAATCAAGACACAGATTTTTTTAGTAAGTTATATTTATGCTACACTGTAGTCTGTTAAGTGTACCACAGCATTATACAAAAAAAAAAACAAGGTACATACATTTATTTAAAAATACTTTATTGCTGAAAAATACAAACCATCATCTGAGCCTCAGAGAGTTGGAATCTTTTTGCTGGTGGAGGGTTTGAAATATTTTGAGAATTACCGGAATGTGACCCAAAGGCATGAAGTGAGTAAATGCTGTTGGAAAAATGGTGCCGATAGACTTGCTTGAGGCAGCATTACCACAAACCTTCAATTTGTTTAAAAAAAAAACCAACACAATATCTGCAAAGCGCTATGAAGTGAAGCACAATAGACGAGGTATGCCTGTATTGGATTATAACCCAAAGTATAAAACAAATAAATATCCATGTTTCCATCCTTACTGATACAAATAAGTGATTGAGTGAATAAATAAGTAGGGAGACTAGGAAAGACTCCTGTGCAGAAGAATTCCAAATACTTTATGTAGATACACTCTCAGGAAGGTAGATCTTGACTGGACACCCCTTGAGTATGGGCTGCACTCAGTGATTTGCTCCCAGAGAGCAATATGGAAAGGGGGGAATGGAGTGTAACTTCACAGTGTGGCGACCTGGCAAACACTGTTTGGCCAGGTGACCAAGTCTCCATCGTCAGTGGTGAGCCATGTTGATGGTGTGTACCCTGGATGGGAAGTGATGAAATTGGTCTGTGGTCTTCCTCCCCGAAACCAATAACCCCAGTTTAACCATGAGAAAAACATCAGACACACCTAACTGGAGCCATTTTGCACAATACCTGACCAGGACTCCTTAAAACTGTCAAGGTCATCCAAAACAAGGAAAAGCCTGAGAAACTGTCTCATGTTTTAGAAGACATGACAAGTGAAGGTTATGAGGTATCCTGGCTGGGATCCTGGAATACTAGGGAAAAAACTAATGAAATCTATATAAACTGTGGAGTTTAGTTAATAGAAATGCAAGATGTTAACAATGCGGACAGTGGGTGAGGGGTAGAGGAGAACTCTCTGTATTCTCTTCGCAGCTTCTCTGTTAATCTGAAAACATTCCAGATTTGACTTAAAAGTTTATTTAAAAGAAAAGGGTAGAGAATAAAGGCTTTAGTCTAGAACTGATCCGGGGGCAGGGGAGGCGGGGAGCCCAACCCTTGTCTTTCACCATGAAGCACTCATCTATAAAAACATATGCTCTAGGACAACTTTGACTTTTTCTTCCAGTTTGAAATCTGTTGTACTAACTGAGATGGCTTTGAACTCCTCGCTACTTGCTCAAAGGTATTTTCCTCTTAAAATACTGGAAGTCTGAAGTCACAACACTTTGTTCTTTGTTCTTTCATCCTCCCCCATCCTGTTTTGCTGCACACCTTGTCATTGTCAACGCGCAGTTGACTGGCTTTGTAAGTAGTTTCTGATGTCTGTCTGTTCCTGGTATTCATTCCCGTGTTATTTAGGTTCATTAAAGGGAACATCTGGGCTTGGCAGCCTGTCACTGAGATTCAGGTACAACCACATCATTACCAAGCCATCCAAAATTCAGCAACAGTGATGCTGATGATACATAGAAGGGTGGTCGCAGGCAGCCTTACAGTTAGATACTTAATAAGAACATCACATTTGATCACAAATTAAGGCACACAAGTAACCTACATGCTGTTCCCTATTTACAGTTCAGAAAATTCCTTCCTCCTCTATAAAATCTGATAACTTCAATTATTATGTAACTTTCATTAAAAAGCTTTTAAAAAGTGTACCTATTTCTGAGTATGTTAATATTCAAGTAACAGTGTTTACTGATTTCGCTGATAATCTGGACAATGAATGTAAAGAGATAATAAATATGCCTTTTATAACCAAACAGATAATAGGCTTGGAGTTGTAATCATCAGCTTATTGTTAGGTGGTGAGCGTTTATTATTAAGTGAGCAACATGAGCTGGTAAATAAGACAATGATATCCTGTATTTAGTCTTCTAAATGACATTTTGATGTTTGAGCTCTCTGTTGTGATAGGTAAAGAAAAATTTGCAGTTTGAGGTTATTGTTTAATACTTGATTTACTTCACCATTGAAATCAATTGACAGGTTTTTACTTCACCACTGAAATCAATTGACAGGTTTTTCTCTTTATCTCTTTTTTTTTGAGAGTTTTTTTTGAGAGTTTGTCAACCTCTGATCTCTGCCATTCTTTTTTTTTTAACATTCTCTTTTTTTTATTGAAGTATAGTCAATTTACAATGTTGTGTCAATTTCTGGTGTACAGCACAATGTTTCAGTCATGTATATACACACATATAATCCTTTTCATATTCTTCTTCATTATAGGTTGCTGCAAGATACTGAATATAGTTTCCTGTGCTATAAAGTAGGACCTTGTTTATCTTTTTTTTTTATTATTGAAGTACAGTCAATTACAATGTGTCAGTCTCTGGTGTACAGCACAATGTCCCAGTCGTGCATACACATACATATATTTGTTTTCATATTTTTTCCATTAATGGTTATTACAAAATATGGAACCTAGTTCCCTGTGCTTTACCAAAGAAACTTTTTTAAAATCTATTTTTATATATAGTGGCTAATTGTCTCTTTTGATGAAGTGTTCCCGGGACCTGCTTTCCTCTGTGGTTTCCATTGGATGGAGTCGGGGTGAGATCCCTTCGTCAGTCTGAGAGCCTAAATGTTTTCTTTAAACAGTGTTCCCTTTGTTGTTCCCAGACCATCGTTAGAGGAAACAAACCCTGCAAGGAAACGTCCATCAACGGCCTGCTGGAGGATTTCGACAACATCTCCGTGACCCGCTCCAACTCCCTGAGGAAGGAAAGCCCGCCCACCCCGGACCAGGGCGCCTCCAGCCACGGTCCAGGTCACCGGGAAGAAAACGGCTTCATCACGTTCTCACAGTATTCCAGCGAATCTGACAGCACGGCTGACTACGGGCCAGAGAAACACAGAGAAAAGAGTCTCTGCGGAGACGACCTGGACCCGTTCTATAAGGGCGGCCACGCGGCCAAGCAAAACGGGCACATGGTGAAAATGAAACACGGGGACGCCTACTATTCTGAGATGAAGCCTTTGAAATCCGACATGGCCGGATTTCCTGTCGACTACCATGCACACTTGGACTCACTGAGCAAACCCACTGAGTACAGTGACCTCAAGTGGGGGTACCAGAGAGCCTCCAGCAGCTCCCCTCTGGATTATCCATTCCAATTCGCGCCTTCTAGAACTGCAGGGACCAGCGGGTGCTCCAAGGAGAGCCTGGCGTACAGCGAAAGTGAATGGGGACCCAGCCTGGATGACTATGACAGGAGGCCAAAGTCGTCCTACCTGAGCCAGACCAGCCCCCAGCCGGCCATGCGGCAGAGGTCACGGTCGGGCTCGGGGCTCCAGGAACCCATGATGCCCTTCGGAGCAAGTGCATTTAAAACCCACCCCCAGGGACACTGGTACAGCTCCTACACCTACCCTCGCTTGTCCGAGCCCACAATGTGCATTCCAAAGGTAACGTTCACAGCCTCCTTCCCTCCCGTGTGTCACGGCCTTCTTACACAGGTGCTAACGTGCGGGTTTCCCTTTGAGTGAGAATCCATGTGAAAATTCTACCTGCTTTCCACCCACAAGCCCCCAGGGCAGAGAATTTAGAATTTAGGGCAAGGCACATTTATTCATTAAAATCGAAGCCTTTTGGGAACTCCTATAGGGTTTCTGGTTAAAAGGCAAAAAAAAAATTTTTATTCAAAAGATATTGTAATACACTAATGATAAGTATTATGTGCTCATGTGGTTCTAAGTTCTCTATTAAGGAGTATATAATTGTAGACCATTAGACGGAATGATTGCTGCATTCTGGTAAAAGGTTTACGTGGAGCTGCCGACAAGGAAAAGAAATCAGGATAATGTGGTAAGTTTTTAATGCAGTTAATTGTCTTCAACTCAAAGGATGGTCCTTCCTTTTGAACGTATGTTCTTCCTACTAGTTTAGTACTGAAATTTTTTTTTTTTGTATGAAACTTTGGGATGATAGCTGGTAGTTGGTAGCCAGACCTTTTTGATGTGATTTTATTCTGTTTTATCTTACTGCAGTTTCTCTCGATAATTGTTTTTAATGTAGCTGCTACAGATTTGCTTTGAAATGTGACTGGTCCATGATATCCCAAAGTTTGGGAAACGCTGTTGGAGAAGTTACTGACTTTGCAAAATACCCTGGAAAGAGTACAGGGGTTTTATGTTCCCGTAGTAACTGAGAAATGTTTTTGCCACCTCCCTCATACAGCAAAGGGAAAATGGGACATTTAGGGATGGGCTCTAGATTACAGAGATCTCAGATCAGTTGAGAGAGACTTGACTTCTAGTAGTGGGATCATTTATGTTCACACCAAATATTGTCTCTTCACCATCTTGATGGGCTGCCCAGAAACCCTGGAAGGCATGCCTGCCTGCATCATCTATTTGATTGGTTGTCAATCATTAGTATTTTTCCTTTGCTCATTATTTCTCATAAACCGAACCCAAGATGTTGAAGTCTTTTAGGGACATGCTGGGAGTGACTTAGGCCATATTTTTAGAGAAACACAAAAAAACTGTCACTGTAGTTCTCGATGTATAAAATTAAAACTAAATCTGGAAGAGATATAGACCTGAAATATATACCTCCAGTTAAAACTTAAATATTGAGAATGTTTTCCATCTCACTGTGTTATTTGTCTGAACACCCATGTTCTTGCCTTTACTTCCTGTGTTCCTGCCAGGGTAATGGTTGGAAAGAGGTCTGTCTAATTCACCCACAGACAGAAGCAGTCAAGAGCCATATGCATGTGTCATGATGCTTGAGATGGTTTATTTGATTTCCTGCACATATCACTCAACCACAGGAACCCCTTCATAGTACCAGAGTGAACTATGCAAGTTAACACATTGTCTTGCTGAATCTGTATACATCCTCTGGTTTTGTTTTGTTTTGTTCATCCTTTGGTTTTTGAATATGAGTGATTATTTTATTCAGGAGCAAAGAATGCCTTTTTTTTTCAGCTTTACTAAAGTGTGCTTGACAGAATTGTCAAGATATTTAAAGTGTACAGATGACTATTTGATAGACAAATACATTGTGAAAGGAGTCCCCTCATTGAGTCAACTAAGACCTCCATTACCTCACATATTCATGTTGTTTGTGTATGTGTGAGAACATTTAAGTTCTACTCTCTTAGCAGATTTCAGTTATACAGTACAGTGTTATCACCTGTAGTCACCATTTTATACATTCCATCCTCAGACCATATTCATCTTTATACCCTTTTACTAACTTCTTCCCTTTTCCCCACCCCCAGGCCCTGGCAACCACTTTTCCACTCTGTTTCTATGAGTGTGACTTTTTTTTTTAAGATTCCACATATAAATGATGCCATCTACAGTATTTGTCATTCTTTGTCTGGCTTATTTCACTTGGTATAATGCCCTTCAGCTTCTTCCATATTACCACAAATGACAGGATTTCCTTCTTTCTTAGGGCTGAGTAATATTCCTTTGTAAATATATTTCCTCGAGTCACAGTTTCTTGATCCACTCATTCTTTGATGGACACATAAGTTGTTTCTGTACCATGTCTATGTAAATAATGGCATGGGAGTACACATATCTCTTCCAGATAATGA